AGAGAGAGAGAGAGAGAGAGAGAGAGAGAGAGAGAGAGAGAGAGAGAGAGAGAGAGAGCATAGACACGACAGAGACGACAGGAATGTGGGATTAAATGTGCTGCATGGCGTATTGTGGTCAAAATTCAAAGCAGAGAAGCAATAGCCCAAACACAATTACTTTTCAAGGAAATGAAATCATTAAAGAATGAAAAAAAGGGGTCTCCGAAAGGCTCCCTGGCATAGAAAGGGGGGAGCCTCATGTACTCTCTTCTATCATCCAATCATCACAATGACCAGCCAGCTTGGTCATCAGGCGGATACTGGCCTTTGACAGGCACAGAAGAGCCTCCATGCAACGAGTGCCATCAGCAAAGACGACGCGACCTCAAAGCCAACCAGCGACACCAAATCCCAACCCATCGCTCGCTGCAAATAGCTGCAATCGAACAAACAGAGGGCCACCATGTTCACAAATATGAGAGGAGGCCAAAAAAACTCCAAAGTTAAGAAATTCAAAATCTCAATTCCAAACTAGGCTACACCAGCGGCACAGTCGGGCCCGCCCGGCATGGCACCCCCACAACCTGTCTGCCTGGGTAACCAGCCTGGACCAGTCATCTTGGCAAAAGTGAGAAAGGGCAACCAGCCTGGACCAGTCATCTTGGCAAAAGTGAGAAAGGGCAACCAGCCTTACCAAGTTGACCCGTGTGGTTTCACCGGGCGACCCCCCCTCTGCCCAACTGGCCCGGACGGACGTGCCTGGCCGGGCGACGGCCCAACATAGTATTTTAATAAACTTTGAATTACCTGGGACCCGGTCAGTTTGATGATGATGCCTCAAGGTCGTCAGGGGGGGGGGGGAAGGGTATTGGTACTACTGGAATGGAGGCCGCAAGAGACACGTCCCTATTCGCAGACGGTAGAAGAAACATCTGGGCAGTTTCTTCATTATCTTTTCCAAGTTGGATTAATGCTGAGGCATTTCTACACCCACTAAGATCAGTCCAAGTCCAGGCTATTTTTTGCTTTTCAGTGTTTTGTGTCTCGGGGGGTACAAATGGGGTTTCGACTTTGAAGGTTTAGAAGGGCTACAAGGAGATGTACCTTAATCTTTTCAATTGATTTTTTTTCCCTTTGAAAAAAAATGAGTTTCCGTCTCTGAGTTCACAGTGAACTCGAAAAGGATCGTCAGCCAAAAGCTGCTCAAATAACTTCATATTCCATTTCTACTTTTCGGCCTTTCCCAGGTTCTTTTGCTCGACTCCCACCCCCTCTTTTTCCTGCTGGTGGTCTTTTTCCGTCGTTGTTGCGGGTATCGCTGGGACCTTGCCCAGGGCCAGCCTTGCACAGCAGAGCCCGGAGGTGCAGCCGCGTATCAGAGATTCCAATTATTTTATAGAAAAACAATCAGTAATAGTGCAAGGTAAATGAGCAACAGCGAAATAGACCAAATTCCAGATTGCAAAATCGCCTTGAAAGCCAGAAAAAGTAGAAAGCTGTCCAGAAAGCAGAAATGCACTGATGTCACACCGAAGGAGAACCAAAGCAGCGAACTCAATTGTAAACGAAGCGTACTCTCGGCACGACCAGCAATGCAATCGAAGCTCTTCCTCCTAATGGCGCTCAGTGCCCAGACTACTATCCTACAGCTAAACTACCAGCCTAGGAAATGACGAAGCAACCAATTGACGTCAGCAGCAGCAATCAAAGTACATCCAGATATAGATCATGTGGACCTCCGCAAAGACCAGGTACGTGCCCTCACATCACTTCCCCTCTCCCCATTTATGCTCATCCTGAACTTCGTCTCCCACGTCTCCTTACTGCCCAAAGACCACCACCACACGCCGCCAGCTATGTAGTCCGCCTGGGCTATGGTGCTGCCTTCATGCGGCGCCCACTCTCCTGCAGCATCCGCGCGAGCGCTGCCTGCCAGTGGCCTTCACTATGCTATCCAGCAGCGCTGCCGCCCGAATATGCAAGCGCCCAAATACTCCCTTCGTAGCCTGGCCCTTTCCTAAATGGAAAGTGGCCGGGCTCATGGGCTGCTCGCCTGGGATGCGCACGCGCCCAGTAGCTTCACTTTGGGCCGAAGTGTCTGCGCCCAGGCCCATTCAGACAGTGGCCTGGGACCGAATCGGTTAGGCATGCCCGCCAGTAGCTTCACTTTGGGCTGAAGTGTCTGTGCCCAGGCCCATTCAGACAGTGGCCTGGGACCGAATCGGTTAGGCAGGCCCAACCACCCAGGCGCAAACATGCGGTGTTCCCTGCTTTAGCCTAGGAGGCTCACAAATGTTTCTGATTCTCATGAGCAAGGCGGATGTAACCAACTGGTGCGTGGCAACTGTCTGGCGCCCACCAAAGCTTTGCAAAATTGATGAACTCAGACCTCATTGAAATTTTGGGGCCCTCACAGGCAAGCAGAAGATCTAAATCCTCGCAGTAGTTGCTCTATGCTGGCAGATCGACCCCGAAGGAACTTGATGAATTAAGGAAACAACTGCAGGAACTAACTAACAAGGGATGGATTAGACCTAGCTCTTCTCCTTATGGGGCTCCTTTTTTTTTTTTTTTTTTTTTAATAATAATTAAACTCCCTTCCAGTGCTAGTTCTTGTTCGTTCCCAAAAAGGAAGGTGAATTACGGCTCTGTATTGATTAATGAGGGTTGAATGCGATCACTGTTAATAATGTCGGACCTCTCCCTCGAATTGATAACCTTCTGGATCAATTACAAGGATGCAGGTACTTTAGTAAAATTGACTTGAAGTCCGGCTACCATCAGATTGAGCTCGCCTCTGGAGATCAGCACAAGACGGCCTTCAGAACAACGTATGGTCGCTATGAGTTCATAGCGATGCCTTTTGGGCTGACTAACGCACCTGCCACGTTCCAAAGGTGACTGAAAGAGTTGTTTAGAGAATGGTTGGATCAATTCGTAGTAGTAAACCTTGATGAATTCCTGGTCTTCTGCAAGACACTGGAAGACCGTGCGGAGCATCTACGTTTGGTTCTACAAAAAATGAAAGAAGGAAACTTCAAATTGAATCCTAAGAAGTCTGAATTCGCAAAATCTGAAGTTCTATACTTAGGACAAGTCGTGAATGAAAATGGGTTGAGACCAGAGGAAAAGAAGATTGCTGCTGTAAGAGATTGACCTAAGCCAAAAACACCAACTGATTTGCTTTCTGTGTGTGTGTGTGTGTGTGTGTGTGTGTGTGTGTGTGTGTGTG